CTGCAGAAAGTGCGGTTTACCCTGCGTGCCGCCTCATGACGAAGAGGACAACCAAACCCCAAGATAACATTCAAGGTCTGTTTATGTGATCTTCCTTCAAAGGTATTTTGACCATCGCCCCGGTGTTGCCCGAAGTTGATCCACGCTTCACCTATGGGGTTAACAGCGAAAACAGCATGCGGAGGATGTTGTAAGTGTACTACGCTGCCCCATCATCATTTTTTGAGGGTAACTGCGAAACAACAGCTTGTGGAAGGTTCCTGGGTGTCCCCCGGCACTAGGTGGTTTGTCTTGGCAATACTCTGGCAATATTTGGCGAGATTGGGACTTTTCAGACCTGCGGGCTACCCTCTCTCTGGGTTCGAAGATCAGACACGCGCATCGCACAGCAGTGCAGGCACGGCAGCAACTGTCCTGTCCGGCACACCCCCGGGCATTACTGGGAAGGGTGAGGCACTCTCCTCGTTCTAAGCTTTTGGGGTTTCGGGTCGCGTGTGCAAACTTTACGTTTGCAGCCCAGGCTTTAGGTGTTGTGGAAGGTAGTGGCTCCCAGCGACACGGTCGAAGATAATCAGGGACTGGGATTTTTCGCTAACATGTACTCCTAAGCTCAATACATTCCACGTAGATGCTGAAGAACCTCCAAGCAGGGTTTTTGAGGCGTGCATTCACGGGTATAGCGGGGCATATCATGGGGGCTTCGTGCCAGCTTTGCTCGGCTCCCCTGCATTTGATCTGGGGCGTGCGTTTCATGCCGCTGCTTGCAGAGACGGCAGGTGCTTGAGAACCGCAGGCGGCCAAAGTGCTCGTCCAAATCGCCAGGGCGGCCGCTGCACGTAAAGGAGCTGACCTGACCCCAATGCCCTCCATGCTGAGCTCGAGCACGCAGGAGTTGAGCGTGACCATCCACTCTTTTCCGGGTCCGCTCCGCAGACAAGCCAAGCTGACTGCAGAGGCCATCTTCGCCTACGCGACCTAGCTGACTATACTGTCCAGGGCCTAGGGCAGTGGGTGGCGCCCTGCCGCCACTGGTTTGAGCGCGCTCTCTGGCTAGCACAGTTTTGGTATCTTGAGAGGCCAATTTTAGGCGCTTTGCGGGCCGGGATTGGGGGGTTGGGCGTCCGAAGGGCAGTCGGCTGAGGCCCATTTGGAGTTTTATGTGTATGATATGTAGCTGCGGCTTCTAATTTTCAACATTTTAAAGCTACCCCTTTTCCAAAGATGGGGTACCCTTTCCACCCCAAAATTCTGGGCCACTCGTAAAGCTGAGGGGTTACACATTCAGTTTTCCACTACAACCAGGGAGATTCTGCATGCGGCTTTCTGCATGCGGCTTTCCCAAAATTGTGGGCATCAAGGAAATCGGGTTTTCAGCTTAGGGTTTCTGGTTTCAAAAAAATCGGAGCTTTCTAGGCTCCCCGAAGAGGATTGCATGCACGTTCTCAGAGAACTCCCCATGGGGAGGATGCGGCTTTTTCAGGAAACCACACGGCAAAACAGAGGTTCTAAGTGGGGTCCTGTTCTCAAGCCATACGTTCTAAAACCTGAATGAACGCTAAGCCAGTTTTTTAAGTCCTGTCTGCCACGGAACAATCTCAAACACCGAAACGAGTCTAAGTCTAAGTACGTTGGGTAGGTTGGTGCCACGAGCACTTCAAGCTGCACCGCTGGCAGAAAAGATTTGACTGTGGTGCACGCTTGGGCAGCCCTCTCGACGACTCCGCCTTGTAGATCTTATGTTAAGGTAATTAGCCTGCACAGGCTGTAGAAATTACATATGCATGCTTGCTTCCATCGTATGCCGGACTAGGAGCTCCGCAGGAACGGATGGAGGGCACGGCCGATGCATGAATGATACCAGGGTTTGTCAACACTGTCGCATGGGAGAAGTTCACAAAAAGACGAGCATGGCTCTTGAATGCGAGGCAGGGACAAACTTGGGCATGCGCAGCAGCACCTGCTTCAGCAACTGTACCAGCAAAGAGCACAGGATGTTTTGCACCCCTTGGCACATCTTGGCAGCAGTCATGCAAAAAGTGAAGAGTTCCGTGAGGGACCAGGCAGTGGACTATCTTTCTCCTCATCGCACGCTAGCTTGGGCGACTGTGGGGTAATAGCTTTGGTTAGGGCTCTTTCTTGCAATGTGCCGGCGCAGTTTCGCCTCCTCCATAAGCCATCCAAGCTAGCAGCGGGTGCCCTAGTGATTCATCACGTGCACGTTATTATGGAGCTGTCTTCAGAATATGGTTCTGCTTTGTCTGTGCCACGCTGCAAGGTGCACCCTGGATGAATCATAAGGGGACCGCCTTGAAAAGTGCCGTCCCGGACCGATGCATTTCACTCTAGGGCTCGGCTGTGCAAAAGCACATGCAAAGGTTGTTGATGCTGCATTGAGCTTGTCTGCTGTGCCTCACTCCCGACCATCGCATACCACCTGAAGCTTGCCGAAGCCCAACTTGCGCTATGTATGTGGTGTCGCAAACTAAGACCTCATGTAAGAAACAAGGCGCGCACTAAGCATCAGCCAAGATGCCTGCCACCCTGCAGTGGTCCGCTCCAGCTCCACCGGCTGCCAGTCTTGTCGGAAGCTTTCAATGCGCCTGAGTGGTGTTGTGCTGATATGAGCCATAGTTTAAACTCCAAGTATCCTGCTTAATAACCCCTATACTACTCCCTGTAAAATCCCTATATAACCACTTGCTCATATTGGATAGCACACGCACGCTTGTCAGTAGTCTTCTGACTGGTTGGCTTTGACATCTCTTCCGCAAGCTTCCAACTTTTCTGTCCAATAATGGAAACTGGGTCAAGCAGTTACCTGGCCTAGCCCTGTCTGCCTGACACCAGCTCACACCAAAGCTCCCAGCAAATACGTTTGAGCTGAATCTTGCTTCTTTGTAGTCGATGCCTTTTCAGCTTGTATTGCGTCCTCTGTGTTGTTTGCGCTCAATTTGACCTGCTAATGTCATCCAATGCTTCTGCACGGATGTGCATTTACGAGGTGTGCAGGCGCTCCTGAATGGGGCCGAGGCTGAGTTGCCTTCAAGGCTATTTGGCAGCTGAGTGACCGTTCCAAGAGCATGCAACGTGAAGGGCAAAGCCAAGAACGGAATTCGTCTGAAACGCTTGCAGAATGTTCAGCGTAGGCCTTTAAAGTTTGACTTTTCGACATGCATCTTGACGTGCAAGAAACGATAAAAAAGCAACCTACTGATTCGTATCCATCTTTGTAGCGAGCTGCTAACTGCTAGCGGCTAGCGCTCAGTCCGGTCGAAAGAAAAGACAGCCCGTCTTGGGGGTTGGGGGTGCTGAACTGGGTTTAGAAGTTTGCTCGTGTTTTCGGATTGATCCTTTTATGTGACCACTTACGGAGTGCAGCATGCGAACAAAAGACTTTGGCGTTTGGATTCGGCCAAGGCGACAAGGCCCAGGGGCAGAGGGCCAACTGTTGATGGTCAACGGGTTTTTTCAAAAGATATCATCACATCACGTAGATCGGCTGAGGTATCCAACTGGCAGGCACAGGGTTGATATTGACAACAAGCCGCAGTGTGTTTTTAACAGCCCCGAGACCAGGTATGTCTGCAGCCCGCGCATCATGGTGCTATTGATCCAAACGCAAGAATCCTGCAAAGGGGGCGACCTCCATAGGGAAACATGCTAAGAAATGCAGCAAGCCTGCCTATGATGCACTGAAAGCCATCTTCTGAATGCAGTCATAATATAACTTGAATTCTTGGTGGCAGGACTGGCAATGCAACAGCCATCCACTCCACAAGCGGGAACAGGGCTCTTGCGGAAAAAAACTCCAGAAACAATAATAGAATCTGGAGCCCAAAGGATGCCTGCCAATCAGTATGACAGTCAAAGATCGGCACGACACAGCATTAGTTGAACATAGAAGCTGCCAATGCTGCCAAGGATCCCGATGCTAACCACCTGCACAAGAAGCGCTCGTAATCTCTTGCGTCAATTGATAAGAACCCACACGAATTACACCTCAATCCCCAACTTGCTGAACCCAAAGGTGCTGCCTGTAGACGCTGAACCTGAGACGGCGTGCGCGTCTCAGGCTGCGGCTAAACTGCTAGAAGCACGAGAAGCTGCATATCTCTGCGTAGGATGTAGTTTCAGGAGGAGCCAGGAAGCTTCCAATTTCCACGCCGAGAAAAGCTGAGGATCCTGTCACAAGCTTCAGGCGTTGTGGCGAACATCTGTCCAGCTTGTTGTCACAAGCGGTCCTTGTAAAGAACTTGCATCCATTCTCGCCAGAAGCCTTTTCCTTCAGCAGCCTTCAGCTCACTCGCGCGGCCCTGAAAAGTAACCTCAGTGTCTTGCAGAAAGTCTGCATGTGGCGTGGCAAAGTGGGACCGCAAACATAAACTTGAGCTGGAACTGAGGCAGTGGCATACGTCAAGGTTTCTGGATTCCAGCACAATAGTGCCGTACTTGGATTGCAAGATAGTTCCCTGAACCTGAAGAACGGCTAAGCTAAGGCTGACTGCAACACCATCATGGGCACGTCTCGCTTGCCGATGACCATATTGAGTACCATGGAAACGTGAAAATCCATGGAATTTGGCACACCGTTCATGCTATCTGTTGCAGACGCGGGGATTGGAAAGCGTACGCCCCAGCTTTTGATTCACACCCCAGAAAACGCTCATCCCCATGTAGACGCTGCTCCCAACTCAAAATCCAGCAAAGCATGCAATCGCCCTTTTGGCTGCAGATGCTGGGGTGTGGCAAGAATTCCAAGCTGGGTTACCCGCGCTTTGCCATGTAGACGCTGGTTTCAGATTGGTTGAGACAGGGCATGGGTACGTAGGGTCCATGGTGTTCAACATGCGGATGTTCCTAACCAAGTAGGCTGACCAAAGCCATTTTCCATAAGAGATCATAAGAGACATGTGATACCAGATGTCAAGCCCAAAGCTGCCACGTCTACCACCCCTGAATCAGGGAACCACGCGTAGCACTTTTCAACTGTCAGATGGAAAGCACTCGCACATCGGCTGAATCCTCGCGGACACGGAGGAAAACATGAAACAAAAAAAGAGCTGTCCGACAATAATGCGTGACAAAACCACCCATTGGGGGATAGCCCGACCACCCTGTACACTGGGGGAGAAGACACGGCAAGCTGCACAACCTGCATCTGAAGGACTTTCCTGCTGAGGCTGTCTGCAAAAAAGCTGCGTATCGGCTCAGCCAGCTACATCTCAACATGCCACCGATTTGTGGACTTGAAACGTGCAAAAAGTGAGGCCCGTGCTTGCGGCTGGCTGCAGAGGTGAAGAAATGGACGACAACGCTGTCGCCCTCTCGTTTCACGCCTTGCTTAGGTCGCCTGTCTTGCTGGGAGGCCAGAAACACAAGATAGCACTCATTCTGGCAGCCGTGGCTCCAAAGGGCTCGCGAAGTTGGACTACTCGAGAGGCAACGCCACCTGACCAACGTGAGCTTTGTCGCAGGAAGGATGGACAAACGCTGGAGGCTACATATCTGCTGCAGCCAGCGGACCGAAAGACTTTGGCATACCATGCAGCACATAAATTTGTGATTCGAGTGTCGTACTTCTTTCAGACTTCACGACTTTCAGGCGCTGAGGACTAGCAGCTAGCACGGCTGCAAGCTCCATACAACAAGCACAGCAAACCAAACGTGCCAAGAAAAGCCTGTGTTATCCTGTGCCTATCTTAGCCCACACCGTTTGACAGATAGGTTAAGGTGAAAGTTTCACAAACCCGCTGTGACTCAGCGAGGGCCCAAAAAATTGCCTGTCCAACCTAGGCCTGCCACGACCTTTGTAAGTTGTAAATAGTTGTAACTTAAAAAGCTGCTCAGGACTTTAAGCTTCATGGATAACTAACGCCTTTGAGCCGTAGCCTCAGTAAAGCTGAATACTCGAGGCAGAACCAATGCCTTCGAAAACTGTTTTTTGAAAACAAAGGATCAGCAGCCTCTAACCCGTCTGCACCGACCGTTTTCAGCGCCTTCTTGCACGTTTGCTTTGGGTTCTAATGGATTTATTCACATCTTCGCCAGTCAATGGCGTGTTCCCTAGCTTTGCTACGCTAAAGCGTTTTCTGTCCATCCATACTTTGTTTCTGCAGCCATGCACATCCTTGATTATCTGATCCCTAGGGTCACTGGGGATCGTATGAAAAGCGTGATGATGCGTGATGTATGGCGTTTTTTTGTTTGAATTGCAGACACGGCAAGGCCGACCGACCCTGTGTACTGCCCTGTTCTGGCCCCTAGTAAACCTAGAAGTCCCTGAGGCCGTAAAGGTAGATTGAAACTCCAGTGAGTCAATGTCCGAGGAGTGTGAAAGGAATTTGGGGTCCATGAATACAGATGGCCAGGAGTAATAGCAATGACACTACCTCTTTGGAAGCTTTGTCTGCAAGAACTCATTCTCAATGCCTTGCATGGTGGTGGAGAGCATTCATCTTCACGATTGGGGGGAATGTTCGTACAAAAGACAGGGTTGCATGATAGAACGATGTGCGCGTGATTGCACGTAGTTTCCATGTGTCTGGGAGAGCATGATGCGCTACTAGAGGCTTTAGGAGTTTAATGGCTTCAGAAGAACTGGATGAATCAAGGAAGACTTGCACATATTTGACTTACGTTGGTCAATGGTACAGGGTCACCAGCCGCTGCGCCTGAGTGGCAGGAAGGATAACGACCAACTAAAAAGCAAGAAGAAGAATCGAAGATACAATGCTCCGAACTGAGTCTCAGATGCTGACACTTCTTTTCATTGAGTTGCAATCCGCGCATTTCACGAAAAAAATGAACTAGGTGAAAACGCTTCTTAGATGAAAAAGGAAATTGGCACAAGAATTGTATCATCAGCCCACTCTAAGTCCCAAAGTGGGCCATGTGCAGTGTAACTCAGAGCTCTGCAAAATACTGCCAATTAGCCTCCTCGACAACATGAATAGACGCGATAGGACAAATCCAAATAAACAAGAGAGTGGACAACCTTGTCTGAGACCTCGGGCTTGAAAAGCGGTCTCAAATAATTTGCCACAGTCTCTTGCATTGAGTTGAAAGTCTTTATTATGCAAGGCCACGATGGCCTGTGTGAGGGGAAAGGGGAAAGTGCGAGGCCCATAACTCCCGCGGCCTGGTGGAAAGGGGAAACAAAAATGGCATCAAAAGCCTGACGCCAATCTTCTAACACTACAGCACGTAACGGCTTGGATTGCCTTTCATGTGCTTTAATGATCCTCATGGTTGGGGCATGGACGATGCACTGGTCACCCTATGCACTTGGAAAACAGTGTCATTTTTGCATGGATGCTCTGGTGAACGTATGCGCTTGGAACGCGCGCTAGAGTGGTTTGGGCATGGATGATCTGCTCACCGTATGCATCTGGAACACGAACGTTTGTGATGGCGCGGACACGACCGATATTAATCATGGGTTGGTCATGGGTGCTCTGGTCACCGTGTGCACTTGGAAGACGTGCGCTTGTATGGTTGAGGCATGACATGGCATACGTGCTCAGGTCACCGTATGCTTTTGGAACACGGTCGTCATTATGGTCTGGGCATGGCAGCCCTGGTCTCTGTATGCACTTGGAACATGCACGCTATCATCAAGCAGAAATAAGCAGAGCTAGCGCGAACCGAGTCTGTGGCGTGCAATCTCATGTGATTTTCTGCGATTCCGTTGATTGTAAATAGCTGTTACATGCTAGCCCGTGCAATTTTGCGCGATTTCGCGCTCCGTTTGCCAGATTCGTTTATTGACTGCTGATATTATGCTTTGGGCATGGATGCTCTCATCACTGTATGTACTTGGCATGATCGCTATTATGCTTCAAGCATGGATGCTCTGCTTACCGTATGCATGTGGAATACAAGCGCTAAAATGGTTTGGGCATGGCTGATCTATGATGATCTGGTTGCCGTATGCACTTGAAGGAAAGACGCCGTTTTGGTTGGGCCATGACTGCTCTGGTCACCGTATGCACCTGGAACACCAGCGCTTATGGTTAGGGCATGAATGCGCTGGACACTTTGCGCACTTGAACGATATCATGCCCAAAATCGTAAACATCTGGTGAAATTAATTGTAGGAGCCTCTTACAAGCGGCGTTTCCAAAAAGCAGAACCTGTATTGCGGTCATCACCCTGACTGACCGTAGGCCAGCGTCCAGGACTGCATAGACATGCGAGGTTGCATGCCGTTTCTTTCCCTTTGATTGCAGTGACCCTCTGGATTTGGCTTGGTCCCGGTTTGCAACGGGTCCATTCGCCTTTCAATCCAAAGGATGCAGCCGAGTGTTTTTCCAGTAGCATGATCAGCCTCAGCACCCACTAAGCCAACATAAGCCAACCAATTTGCGAGGTGTGCCAGGAGGCAGCACGCATGTCTCATTGCTACATAACCTAGAGGTGTCATCCTCCAGGCCTAACCTAGGGATTCTATATATTCTAGAAACATCCCATGAAGCATCCCATGAAACATCCCTACAACA